GACAATCTTATGTGCCTCTTTACTTCCCGCATGGTTTTCATGACTGCCCACGGTCTGGTTGATAGTCCGAATGCAAGGACGCGATAATGGTAATAGCTACTGTTCCACTGGAACCCAAGGTATGGCCGACACGCTGTGTGTATCGACACGTGCAAGAAGCCGTTTTGCAGGTCCAGCTGGCTACACCAGTCTCCTGGTTATGATCTCCTGCAGTGTGTCCAGGTTTCTCGTACCTGAAGCGTGATGCAACTACACACCGGTTCAGGCGCTTTAGGTTCAAAATAATGCTTCGTTTTCCATTTTTCTTTGGCAACGTTGCTATTGGAGAGATGCAATATGGTGGTGTTTGTGTCTTCTCCATTACTCCCTGCAGGAGTAATTCTTGTATATGAGCTATGATGAACTCTTTGCTCTCCTTCGGCATTGGCCTCTTGCCTTGGTGGAACGCTGGCTGGTGTTGTTTGAATGTTATCGAGAAACCATTGCTCAACCAGTCCAGGATCATTGACGAAGCACCGATCCTTGCCCACGTGTGCGATCACTCTGTGTTCTGATGAAATAGTTCCGAAACAGGACACTTGAACGGCCATGTATGCTGCGACGAACGAAAATTAGAACTTTCACTGCTAGTGCCTCCTCGAGGGTAGGAAGACAGAGTCGCGCGAAGAGCCCTGCAGTGGAAGTCCACGACGGATAGTCAAAGAAGGCACGGATTACACCTTTCGTCATACGAGTGGTTCATTGAATACCTACTCCCCCCCCCCCCACTCATACATCGAATAGCCCCTCCCCCCCCCCCCCCACTCATACATCGAATAGCCCCCTGCCCCCCCCCCCCCCCCCGCAGCCGCAAGAAACATTGTGGCTGATGGTACTAGTAGTTGGCTGGGCTGCCACACCGCATTACAAGACAATCTCTTCATTCACTGTTTTCCCTGATGAGCTAGTTGCCTTGCCAACTTCCACCTATAATTAAGGTGAATCATGATATGAAGATTGAGCATGTGTGGGTATCGCCATCCAGAGCAGCGTACAGGCTACCAACGACTGAGATGGGCGAGCTCCTCTTCCAGTTGTCGGAACTGCTTCACAAATTCATTCATTGAAGCAAGTAAGTCTCTCTTTGACGCCCCTGTCTTCTTCGTTAAGATAACCGATGGGTCTTTGCGGATGGTATGTGACTGGGGGGGGGGGGGGGGGGGGGACTCAACAGAATCACTGTCAGGAATAAAGCATGACTTCCAAATATCAATGATTTGTTTGAGATAGTTCAGGGCGTCAGATATTTCTCTAAATTGGATCTACTTTGAGTATAATTACAAAAGAAGAAATTACATGAAAACGAGTCAAATACTGATACTGGTACGGAGCAACTCTCCACGACTGTTACAAGAGATGATAAGCAGTCAGAAGGTGCCATAACACGGCACAAAACTGACATGTTAGTGAGATATTCAGCGAGCTGAGACCTAGCTCTCACACACTTCGCCTGTAACGTCTTCTTGCAGTCGTGTATAGTCGCTTCATGACTCGTTTCCATGTGATGTCTTCTATTTCAATCATATTTTATATTTATTGGCTCAGTATCCGAGTTAAATTTACTTCGAGTATGTTCGGCACACATACAGACTGTATGCCGATTCGTAATAGCCAGGAGGATGTTGCCAAGATTGCCATATATACCCCATTTGGTCACTTCCAATTTCCAGTCATGGTTTCGGTCTAACCAAGGCCCCAGCCATATTTCTATCTCTTGTGAATTAAATACTTTCTCTGATGTTGAAACGGTGGGTGTGGACCTCGCTGCTCGCTTGGCTCAGGCTGTGCGAACTTCTCAGGTCTCTAATAATTTCAGTGCGCAAGTCTCTCTGTCCACACCAAGCGACTTGTGTACCGTGCTTTTCGTCGACATCGCTGAGTGAGCTGGCGGGAGTAGACGTCTACATCGCTGAGTGAGCTGGCACGGGTTGGCCTCGACATGGCTGAGCGAGCTGGCAGGGGTGGACGTCGACAGGGCCGATGTAATCAAGAAGGACGATGATGACCATACCAAACAACATGTCCCACAGAGACCGACCAGACTGAAAACCAACATGCGTATATTTACTGAATGACCTGACCGTAGGACGACAATCACGCATCAAACGACGGTTACCATCGGGAAGTCTAATAATGGATGTGTACGATATTTATTTTGTCCTTGTCTGGTGGATGATGATATTGGTTTGTTGGCATGTTGCTTGGTTTGTTGGCATGTTGCTTGGTGTGTTGGCATGTTGTTTGGCTGCTTGAATGGTGTGTTGACGTCTTGCTTGGTGTGTTGGCATGTGTTGGGTTTGTTGGCATGTTGCTTGGCTGCTTGAATGGTGTGTAGTGCATATTACTTGTTGTTTTGTAGTAATGTCTACATTTTCTTTTCTCCCATCTCTTTCCCAATGCTGGTTGTTGCGTTGCTGTTTGAGCCTCAGAACTGCTCCAGGGAAAGGTCCGCTTAACCAGTACATCAACAATGATCCGTACGATAGGTGGACGCTACAACGTGTGGCCACTGCACAACACCATTCAGCACAGAGAGTGTACAAGTCAAGGCTCTCCCTCTCTCTCATTCTCTCTCTCTCTCCCTCCCCTCTCCCTCTCTCGTTCTCTCTCTCTCTCTCTCTCTCTCTCTCTCTCTCTCTCTCTCTCTCTCTCTCTCCCTCTTTCTCTCTCGTTCTCTCGGTTCTCTCTCGGACAGTCTCTTGATGTTTCCCTTCAGTTTTCGTAATCCATTTTCTTTTTCATCCATGGTGGTTCATTTGTTGGTGGTGGTGGTGATAAATCTCAATCTCGTGTCCTTGTCTAGATGAAGTATGTACTTTCGCTCAGCCGTCTCTTGACTTAGTGATGAGAAATGACTGCAGTACAGCATAGCGTTCTGGGAATGAATGAATGTAGTGTTGTTATCACTAGACATTATGGTTTGTATGCAAGTATTATAGCTAGAACAGTGGTGTTGATGCCAGCCTGCAACACTACGCGTGACAAGATGATCCAGCGAGATGTCAGAGAATGACAGAGCGCAGTAGTGTCATCTGTCATGTGCAAACAAGATTCCTACGTTTGGTCCAAGATATCAGAGAATACCAGAGCAGCAGTGTCACTTGCAAACAAAATGCCTACGCTGCGAGAGAAGGTAGGGAGTAGTTATTCATATCATGATTATGTCAGGTGGTTATCAGATATGTAGAGTGTGAGAAATGTACGGCAGCATGTATTGAACATTGCGGTACTCCATACATAACGGACAGAGGGTCAGACAAGCTAAGCAAGGAAGAAGGGGATAGATTGACATGGACATGACAGGTATGTCCAGGTCTCAATCATCATTAACACTATACATAGATAATCTCCTGTGTTTTCAATACTCCAGCATATCACACTGTATCAAATACCTTCATCATGGAACACAATACAAACGTAGAAATCTCACACAAATCCTGAAGTGAACACAAAATAGAAAGAGGTTGTAGTGACAAGGTTGATAGATAGTTTTACCTACACCTCATCCCTTACCATCGTCAAACTGTACTCCTAACAAGGTTATATGCATTCATTCTCTTTCAGCTGTGTGTGTGCGTGTGCGTGTGTGTGCGTGTGCGTGTGTGCGTGCGCGCATGTGTGTGTATGTGTGTGTGCGGAAGCGTACAGAACCCTCACGACAGCGGCAACTGCTCCTGCCGATTGCCTGAAGACTCGAGGCCTCATCTTGAACGCCGCCAAGAGCCAGGCTCTGACTATCTCCCCCCAGCAGCATGTCGCAGGAAGTACCAGTAGGGGTAGGTTGCACTTTTTGAAGCTCCCGTAAATCTTTCTTGGTAGAGCCCAGCCGGCATCAGGCCGGACTGGAGGTAGTTTCCGTAGGGTAGCAGTAAGTGTTTCTAGTAGTGCTCGTAGAAATTGGTGACCTCCGCCATGCCTGGGGCCACCACGAGAACAAACACTCGCGCGACTGCCCTGAGTGACGAAGAGCTGAGGCTGATGGCGTCGTTGCCGGGCATTGAGTTATCTGTAGTAGAAATCCTGAAAACATTGGCCGCACTCGTCTCGGAATCGGCTGATCGGGAGACGCGCCTAAACAAACGGGTTGACGAGCTGTCAAGGCAGCTCAAAGATGTGAACGAAGAGTGTCTCTCCGAGAATCCGCCATTGCCTTGCGAAAAGCTACCCCAAGGCCAGTTCAAACACAGCAGGGTACGGGTGCGGGTCAACCTTCGCGTAGGCCTACCAAGGCAGGCAGTGCGCGTACAGCAGGTACTCGAAAGCATGACACCACGATGTCCCGTAGCGTCTCCAGCAACATTTCCCGTAGCGGTGACGAGTATGAAGAGGCAGTCCTTTCCCAAACGACCAATCCCGATATAACAGATTTCGAGGGTTTTTTTGCCGGGAAACGTTCTCAAGCTTGAGAAATTTCGAATTTGTCTAGTTTTGGGGTATGTATGAAATAGGGTTATCGGCCTGGTCGAGCAGTGAAGGCTTCTTCCACATCCCTTGAATTATTTCATATGAAAGGTTATCAGTTTGGCAATGCCCTGCCGCCAGGAGAATGCAAACAACGCGATAGAATGCGTCCCGGGTGGTAGGGATCATTTTTCTAAGTGCTAGAAAATAGCCGACATCGATACGAAAGTCGGCCTCAAAGTCGACATGGACGTCTTGAACAGGTGAGATCTTTCAATATATCAATGGAGAACACCCTAAAGAATAGATGTATAGTGTTTCTAAGCTTCTAACCCTTGTGTGCTCAAGTGAAAATTGAACATATTTGGACGTGGACGTGAATATATCACGAGACAAAACCTGATACTGTAGTACATTAATCATTCAATGGGTATACAGTATACAACCACCATACAAACACGAGCAGGAGAATGAGTGGACAGGAGAATAGTTGGTTACCCATTGCTGTTCAACAAAGAGAAGCACATACTAAAAGTTGAATTGGATTAAAGTATTTACAATTCACAATTACATATCACTTTCTGCGATGTAACACTTGCGGCGAGGAAATGCCTGTCGCGCACTGTCGCAAGCAGTTGTAGGGCCACTGTCCCAGAAGTTGGCAAAAGCATAACTCTTGCCAAGCGCGTTGTACACAAATGGAGTGCAGTTCACTAGGCTGGGTGCACGTGAGGGTACTACGCACTGCACTTAGATGCCGCAGACACAAAACAGATTGTGAATCGTCTGTCGCGATTGCAGCTCATCGCAGGTGTTGCATCTTGCGCATTGTGGAAAGCAGTTCATGTATTGGGAATTGAGCTTCAGTAATAACAGAAAGAGGATCCCAGAGGATGACCGACACCGCTGACAAACACTCTTCTACGCAAAGTTTTGATGACGATGCTTGATTGAGACGTTAACCTGCAATGGAAAATAAACAGCAGATGATACTGATTATATATTAGGTACGGATTATACCATGAGTATGAGAGGTATACGGCGAATATTTTCGAGAGTGTGTTAGGACGAGGGACAATTGGGGGATTCGGTATACACAGAGTGCGAATGGTATAATCCATTTGCATGGTACTTTCCTAAATACAGAGCGTGACCAACACGAAAGCTTAGCTCACATTCGAAGGGGCGCAACGGGACGCGACGTAAGGATTGACGGGAACCGACGGAACGGTTATGACGCCGACAGACAGCGTCCAATGTGAACACCAGGAACAGGAACGCAAGCGTTCTACCCTACAGATTGGGAAGCGAGGGGAAGAGTTGGATCAGTTCAACTTTTCAGACCGTAGACGGGGACGCAAGCGTACAAAACAACTGCATTCGAGTGTGAACAGGGGATGTGTCGTGCGCTGACCCCTCCCGATACGCACAATAGCACACTTAGGTTTTTTAACATTTCAAACACGGTCAACACTACGCTTCCCATGATAACTCGCCGAATGGCTAGCACAACTGATTCAAATTTTAGGAAGATGAGATTTCGTGTCACTTCTTGAAAATTGCAATAGCTGCCACATGTCGTGTCATACTACATGTTGTGTCTTACGAATCGTACAAGATTTTACAGCTCACCCCGGCCGTCCCAACAGGCCCGTACGTCCCATACCGTCAGCGTTACGTCGAATGTGAACTAGGCTTAAAGTTTCCTTATTCTCGAAGTGACCCATGTGAACTGAGCGGGATATATCGCTGAATATACCCCGCTTAGAACGGCCGCTGATTGGCAAATGGTGTTATATTTGAGACGAGTTCTATATCACTCAACTTCATATCACAAATGCTGGCGCACTTACATGAGGAAGGAACGGATCCATACACGTGCACGCATCAAATACTCTGCCAACAGCCAGTCAGCGATGATTACAATTATACAGTGCAGCAACCCTGGACAGCAAGAAAGAATGTACACACCAGAGAGCCTGAAAATGAAGTTATACTCTGATGAACGATTCGCATATAAGAATATTGGTGGCCAAAGGCAAAGTGAGAATAAGTCTAGATCACTCAATTAGACAGAACAATCTTGAGTGTACACTTATACGAGAAAAGGACGAATCCATAGGCGTGCATACAATGCATACATGGCATGTTGAATACGCCGCCAGCATCAAGGCGGTGGGAACTACAACTGCATGCATACAGTGCAGCAGCGCTAGGCAACATCTCACTAAATGTAGAAGATATGGCGGGCAGATGATTACGGTTATAGAACAGATGTCATTTTATGGTGCATGCCATTACAAGAACCAGCATTTTTTATGGAGCGGATTGTACCAATACGGCGAAATGTCTACGGATTCAAGATAAATCACAACAGACTTAAGCAAGAACATGGTAAAACTGAGCAATGGACTGGCACATTCAAGACTGATTCATACTTCATTTCATGAACGCAATGCGCACAGGCGAAGGTCGCGCGATGGACCAAAAAAGTAACTCAGCTCAAGATCAAGTCAACTTTCTCGCCGCAAACGGCCGTTGTGACGTGTTTCCCTTACGCAAAGCGAAGTGTGAATGAGGCTTTACTCTACATATCCAAAACTGTAAACCAGTGAAGACTACAGCTTAGAAGACGGTATTATAATGTTGTGCATTGTACTTGCCAAATAAATGTGTGTGATACTCTATTTAACATACATGTAGATAGGGCCAAGCAAGCACAGCAAGTTCTGAATTTTAGGTATTTGGAGCTCGTGAACAGATCAGATTTGTCTTGTAAGTGATAGGTATTGCTTACCTCTATATGTTGCCGCCTTCGTGCTGGCCGAAAACGCTGCATGCTCTGGTGATAATTCGGCTTGAAATTAGGTGCATAAAAATGCCAATTTCAGCTTCGTTCACAACATTTTCGATATACATGTACGTCTCCTCTACGAAACTTCACTAAAAATATATCTGCCGAAAGAGCGTCCCGTCAAGAATACATGGTGTGAAATAAAACGAGGTGGTGCAAAGTAAAACGACGTAGGCCATGTAAAACGGCTTCCATTTCTCAGAACCAATTTAGGACAGTTCTCAAATTTGAGAACATTTTTTCGCTTTCGCGGCAAAAATCAGTCAAGAATCTGTTATATCGGGATTAGTGGAAGAGGTCTTTTTTTTGCGCGTCTGGGGAAGGACTGAGGATGGCAGCGTCCCCTGCAACATCTCCCGTAGCAGTGACGAGTGTGAAGGGGATGGCGACCAAGATGCAACCTGTGTAGACGAAGACAGATTCCAACCAGTCCAGAACTCAAAGCGGAGTAAGAAGCAGTGCGTGCTCCAGGTGATCGCAGATGACAGCTGGAAGATGGTGTCGTCAGAGCCTCCCAGGGCGAAGAAAGCTGTGCTGTACGTTGGCAACCTAGGTGACCAATGCACCGAGGAACGCCTCAGGGAGTTTGTGCAACACAGAGCAGCTGCGGTTGGGACATCTGTGGATGTGCACGATTGCAGTATGCACGAATCAGCAACGGGCAAAATCTCAGCGAGACTGACAGTTGACGCTGCAACAGTTCCTACAATTACCGCTGCAAACTTCTGGCCCCGGCCACTTTATGCCAGGCAATGGCGTTTCAAAGAAAGCAGTGGAGCACGCCATGATAATTCTAGCCCACCTGCCAAAACTGATGACATTACCAAGTCTGACCCTCCTCCTCAGAACAATGATAGTCTCCCACCTGCCGACCCTCTCCTGAGCAATGACCAGTAAGACGTTGAAATTGCTGGTTACGAATGCCTTTGGTATCCGTTCAAAGTTTGGCGAATTTCAACATACCCTTCTGGCATCTGATGCAGATATTGCTGTAGTCACAGAAACCAAGCTGACCCTGGATAAGATGACGCAAGCCGAAGTGACTCTTCCTGGGTACTCCCCTCCAGTAAGACGAGACCGAACACCACAGGGTGGAGGCGTGGCTGTGTGGGTGAAATCCCACCTAGCTTTTCAAGAACTGGAAGCTGTTCCAACCCTTGACCAAGAAGTTGTATGGCTTTCTATCCGCATAAGACCTGGCCGCAAAGTTGTCTTGTGTGCTGCCTACCGCCCAGGGTCTCTTCCTGGCAACGATATCAGTATGGTAGATTACTTGGACCAGACCATTGACGTTGCCCGGGTGGATGCACAGCACCTCATCATCGCTGGCGATTTCAATGCGCACAACACTGCCTGGCTGGGCAGCAGTAGAACAACTCCAGCTGGGGAGAAACTGGAGGACCTCTGCGCACTACATCACCTCCAGCAGCATGTGACGGTGCCTACTCGTGAAAATGCCCTCCTCGACCTCATCATGAGTGACCTGGGCAACCCGACGGTCCGGCTCGGCCCCCCCAATTGGTAGATCTGACCACGCCACCATCTTGGCAGAATTCAAGACAGAACTATGTCGAGAGCCCAAGACGGCCAGAACAGTCTGGCAATATGGCCGCGCTGACTGGGACAGACTAAACCACCACCTTAGGAGTGTGGACTGGGATGCCCTCATGTCTGAGGATGCAAACAGCAGCTGCACCAATATTACCTCTGCCATCATAGATGGAATGAACCAGTTTATCCCATCCCAACTTCTCTGTACTCGGCCCTCTGATCCCGCTTGGTGGACGCCAGCTTGCAGCAAGGCCGTGAAGGCGAAACAGAGTGCCTGGAAGTCCCTCAAGAGACGACCAGACTCGCCCCAATGTCAAGCTAACTATACTCTCGCTGTCCACCGTTCTTCTGATTGCCTACGTGATGCCCAGAATCACCATCTAGCAATAGTCCGTGCACGACTCCAGACCGGCAGCCTTCGAGATAAACAGTGGTGGTCAACCATCAAGCAGTCCATCGGAACCTCCCGAAATAGCTCCATCCCGATTCTTGTCGACCCTGCTGGCAAAAAGCATGCCACGAACATCGAGAAAGCAAACTGCCTCGGTCACTACTTCGCGGAGAAATGTAGCCTTGGTGCCAATGATCTGCCAGACACACCTCTGCCCTCTATTCGCCAACGCACGGGCAATAGGCTGAAGACCGTACACTTCCGCCCTGCCACAGTCCAGCGAGCTCTCAAGAGCCTGGACGCTTCAAAAGCAACTGGCCCTGACGGCATTCCGGCGCAAGTGCTCAGGAAGTCAGCGCAGTCACTCGCCAGCCCTCTGGCAAAGCTATTCACCCAGTGCTTCCGGGACGGGGTGCAACCTGCATCCTGGAAGATCGCGAACGTTGTCCCTATTTTCAAGAAAGGCTCCAAGTCTACCCCGAAGAACTACCGTCCGATTTCCCTCCTCTCTATACTCTCTAAGGTGATGGAGGCCATCATCAATCGCAGCATCACTAACTTCCTGGAAAGCAATCAGGTCCTCTCCGAACGGCAATTCGGGTTCCGACGCGGCCTGGGCACGACTGATCTTCTCCTCTCACTTCAGCATGAGTGGAGTCGGACGTCCAATGCTGGGGGTGTGACCCGAGTCCTTGCTGTCGACGTGGCCGGCGCATTTGACAAAGTGTCGCACCGCGGTGTAGTTCACAAGGCCAGATGCCTTGGGCTGACTGGCCACCTGCTCTCATGGTTGAAAAACTACCTAGAGAGCCGCCACATCCGGGCCGTGGTTGGTGGACAAACATCAGCCACACACGCCATCCGAGCAGGTGTGCCTCAAGGAAGCATCCTGGGGCCCACTCTCTTCTTGATCTACATTAATGACGCTGAGGACCACCTTCCCCAATCGACCAGCCTTGCCACGTACGCAGACGACACAACGCTCTACAAGTGTATCCGGTATCTCGGCAACCTCGCAGCTGACTGTGATGATCTCCAGACCGCCGTCAATGCCCTTGCTGCCTGGGGTGCGACCTGGCGAGTGACATTCGAGCCCGCCAAGTCATACCTACTCCACGTCAGCCACCACCGTCGGCCCTTGGACTGCCTTCCGGGCACATTCCAAGGTGAAATCGTGCCTGAAACCCAGTGCCTGAAGCTACTTGGGATAGCCTTCGACAGTCAACTGACATTCTGCCAGCAGATTCGACAGTCAGCCCTGCGCGCCACACAGCGACTGGGCTTCCTGAAGAAGGCCTCAGCAGTGCTTGACCCTGGCTGCCGTCTCCCGGTCTACAACGGCTTTGTTCGCCCAGTCTTAGAGCATGGCATGCTAGTCTGGATGGGTGCTTCTCAGACGGTGCTGGCCCAACTCGATGCTGTACAGCGGAGAGCCCTGCATCTGATCGGCGAAGGCGCATATCTGCCAAGCCTCGAACTCCGGCGCAAAGTGGCTGCTCTCTGCTATCTCTACCCCACAGATGCTAACCCGAATGCTGCCCCCCTCCCAAGCAGTACCAGACCACGACCAACATCCTGCCAACACCAGGCAGCAGGTGCGGATGGCGGCCGGCCACCGCTACCAGCTGCAGTCTGATATCCCAGCCAATTCTCGCAACAACGTCCGCCGGTCGTTCCCTGAAGGAGTGCTGGACACCTGGAACCAGTTGCCTCGCCAACACCTCCTGGATCAGCCCGACCAGAAGAGGTTGCAGTCCTTCAAGTGCAGCGTCCACCGATTCCTGCGCTCGAGCCACTGGGACTGGGCGACCGACCGGCTGTAGGGACTCGGCGTGGTGGTTTTCTGGACGTTACTGTGAGAGAGTGAGTCTGTGCACAAATATTATGTATGATTACGCATCTGCGTGAATGTGCACGTGTGTGTACGTATGTGTGTGTGTGTGTGTGTGGTGTGTGTGTGGTGTGTGTATGTGTGTGCGTGTGTGTGTGTGTGGTGTGCGTGTATGTGTGTGTGTGCGTGCGTGTGTGCGTGCGAGCATGTGTGTGTGTGCGCGCGTGCGCGCGTGTGTGTGTGTGTGTGGGTGGGTGGGTGGGAGCACATGGTTGGTATGTGTATCAGGTTGATCTCCTGTTTGAACATGCGCATATGTGTGTGTATGATGTGCCCTAGCTCACTTATAATATTATTATTATTATGTTATACACGTAGATCATGTCCATGATACCTTTCCTCTGCGCAGGTCCACCGCACTATTGTTTTTAAGATTAACATCATTATTACTTCTGCATATGCATTACATACTATGATCATGCTGGCTTCATCCCTTATCTCCTAAGCTACCACCCCCCCCCCCCCCCCCCCCCCGGTGCGTCTGCCCAGTGTTGACTCCGAGACCCACGGTCGGACGAGCTGCCCAGGCCTCACCACCACTGCCGTTTCCGTGCAGCCTTCTCGATACATACGTATGTACACTGTATATCATGTGCACATTCACATGTCTGAAGGTTTGTGGTTTTCAATTAAAAAAAATAAAAATAAAAATGTACAGGAAGTAACAGTCAAAAGCGGCGACTGTCTTCTCCCTTCAGCGTCTTCTGCGCGCTACCTCGGCGTTCACCTTGACAATCGCCTCGAATGGGACACCAATGTAAACTATGTGGTCACCAAGGTTACCAAGAAAATTGGCGCCCTGTGGCGCGCACGCCGAAGCCTATGAAGACGCTCTCGTCAGGTGTATGTCAAAAAAGTCAAAAGCGGCGACTGTCTTCTTCCTTCAGTGTCTTCTGCGCGCTACCTCGGCGTTCACCTTGACAATCGCCTAGAATGGGACACCAATGTAAACTATGTGGTCACCAAGGTTACCAAGAAAATTGGCGCCCTGTGGCGCGTACGCCGAAGCCTATCAAGACGCTCTCGTCAGGTGTATGTCAAAAAAGTCAAAAGCGGCGACTGTCTTCTCCCTTCAGCGTCTTCTGCGCGCTACCTCGGCGTTCACCTTGACAATCGCCTAGAATGGGACACCAATGTAAAGTATGTGGTCACCATGGTTACCAAAAAAATTGGCGCCCTGTGGCGCGCACGCCGAAGCCTATCAAGACGCTCTCGTCAGGTGTA